AGAGTAGTGCCCATTCATGTAGTGCTTCTAGTTTCTGCTTGTTGCTTTACAGACCATTTATATTATGACAGGCAATTTCCAATTTTGCCTTGCTATTCCTATTTTTAAGTATTATCTTCTGTCTATTATAGTTTACATTTTCAATTTCCATTCGTGTTTCCACTCATATTTCTTTTTCTTTTCCCTTTCCTTTGTTATTAGTATGATGGATTTTGGAGGAGCTTTGAGCTAAGTAAGAACTTGAAGGCGTATTTATTATTGGAAAGGGGTTCACCTCCACTGCCATTTTCTTTATTTCAACCAAGGTGTCTTTAGGAGCGGTTAGCAGGTAAGACCTGCTCTTTGCCTATTTTTCTAATCTGTTAAGAATTTCTTGTAAGATCATATGCTGTTAATCTATTCTGTTTTCTAAGTTTAGGACTTTATCCTTCTTGTCTTCTGAATATAGATTTATATATTGATTAAAAAATTGTTTTTCTGCTTCAGGGTCTTTCCATATTACTTCTTCTGCTAGTGCTTTTGTGTTTTTCTTCTTGTTAGAAATCTTAACTTGTTTACCCTTGCCTTTTAATTGGTTTCTTTCTTCTTTGCCAGAGTTAATACTGCTTGTTGCATTCTCTTTTCCTAGATCTCTGGTCAAAGCTTCTATGTAAAAGAACTTTTTATCTTTATTTTCTTGGATATCCATCCATGCCAGTTTCTTGTTGTAGTAATAAATTTGTCTTTTTTGTGCATTAAGGCAATCTTCTTCATTTTTAAAATATACTAGAGCAATACTTCTTCTGTTGCTATTACTGTTATTAGGAATATATACTGTTTTAGCCTTATTTGGTTTAAGTTGCCGAAAGAGTGCAGACTCAAGTGTATTAGGAGGAAGATCTCGAAGTCTAGCCATTCATTTTCTTCTATTAATTAGTTCTGCTTTATCGAAATAGCCAGAAGTTAGTCAGCATATGCTTCCTTCTTCAAAGTGGACTATCCAACTTTCTTGGAGCGCTTTAAATCTTTCTTGATTCCAACAAGTAATTTGAATATACGCTGCTTTCGATTTCTTAACCTCCTGGTATATATCTTTCCATTCGATGATCTTTGCTCTATCATAAAAATTAAGGCTTCTTCTTACTCTACTAGCCTATATCTCTACTAGTAGATCCCATAATGTTAGTTCATATTCTGGTTTAAGGTTTTGAGTTGTTTCTTCTTTTGTCAGTTTCTTAGATATTTCTTTTTTCGGTGGTATTTCTATCTTTGGTAATTCCTCTTTGGATCTATTTTCTGGAACCCAAATGGATTCATTGATATCTTTTGGTGCCCATCTAGATCCATGTATATCCTCATATACAATATTGTATTTTTTTTTCTTCTCTTTTTTGGGTGGAGCCTCTACTGATCTTTTGCTATGTCTTAATAATACCAGGTCTTTCGTTTTTTTAGTACTTTTGTCATAAGTTCCACATTCTGCATATAGCAAAATTATTTCATCTTCTATTCTTTCATCGTCTGAGCTTTCTAGAAACTCTTTTTCTGACTCATTTAAAATTGCTTCCACTATTTTATTAATACTATTGTCTTGTCATTTAGGTTCAGGTTCCTCTATGCTCTTCCTCTTAGTATCTTCTATCACTACATGTTTTCTTTTATGTGTTGCTTTATAAATAATTAAATGAGCTGTAGGTTCTTCTATTATCATCCTGTCTTGTGTTAAGGGAGATTTCTTTTTTTCAACCTTTGGTTCAGATGTTATACATTTCTTTTCTTCTTGAATTTTTTTTTCGGCATGTTCCTCAAAGTTGATTGTCTTGTTCTTTGGATCTACTCCAATTAGTTCTCGATCTATAGCATTCAATCTATCTCCTCTTGAGTATTTTTGAAAAGCTGTTTTGTAGTTTTCTAGTGCTATACGCATGAATGATACAAATTCTGGATCCTCTAATCCTAAAAATTTTGTCACACTTCTATTTGTTTGGAGAACAAATCTCTTTTGTGCGTTAACTAATTCTTGTCTTACTTTTACTGGCAGTACAAAGACACTCTTAATCTTTCCTAAAGTTGTCATTTCAAAAATTACTAAGTTTAAGCTTAATTCTTTCCTTTAACTATGCTAAGTTCTTGTTCTGTTGTTGTAGAATCTATGTTTACTATAATGAATATTTTAGAATAATCCACTTCTATGTTTTGCTAGTGATCATGTTAGTTGTATTGATTTGTTGTTATTTCCGACAGTCATATGAATTGTTTGTTGATTTGTTGTTTTTGTTGTGTCTAAAAGTAGAACGCAATCTAATATTTGTTTGTTTGTTTGTTTACTAATCTTACGCGTTTGTTTTGTTGTTGCTTTTACATACCCCTAAGATCAGATTTTTCAGGGTCAAACAAATTTTCCAAAAAATTCCAAAAATTTTCTAAAAATTTTCAAAAGTCCAAATTTTGTTGCTGACCTTAAAGTTTTTGTCAAAGGCTATTCTAATGAAATAAGGGTTTTTTTAAGTGCTTTTTCCTTTTTCTTAATACAAGAAACCTTGTTTCCTATATTAATTTTGCAGAAAAGTGTTGTTTTAGTTTTAGTTGACTAGAAATTTTGTTAAATTGAAGATCAGCGGAAAGAGTTTTGTATACAAATATTTGTTACTGATTACTATATACTTTGTTATTAAACATATCAAACTAAATAAAAAGATTGCACTATTAATATGAAAACTAAACCACAAATCGCTTGTAAAAAAAAGGAAAATACTATTCCAAGAGGTACTATATGCAGCACTATATAGTACAAGCCTAACATAAGCTTATAAATATAATATTAAAATAGACAATATTTTTTTTTACTTTAATACTTCTTTATTTTTTTTTTCTTACTTATAATATTCTCCTATATCTCTGTGTTTTTTTTTATGCTTTTATTTATTTGGCTTCTTAAAAAAAATATACTGCTGCTCTGGCTAATATTAGAAAAACCAAATTCTTAATAAATTAAAGATCCAATATAAAGCAAATTGCTGCTAGGTAAATCATATTTAATCCATAAGATCAAGTGAGTTTTTATTAGCATAAAACTAAAGTATAGAAAGTTTTATTTACTTGTTAATAATTTTCTAATGCTTCCAATAAAATAATAAAGGCAGGACCACTAAATTAAAAAATAAAAAATAAAACATGTTTATAAACTTGAATTGAACCAAAAATTTGAGTTTGAGTTTAGTTAGAGTTTAGTTCTGGTCTATAAATTTAAAGTTCAGTTTAGGTCCAGGGTCAAACATCTGCAAAATTTAAAGTTCAGTTCAGGTTAATTAGGCCTGAACCTGAACTTAAATTGAACTTGGTTTGTCAAACAGTTCTCAATCCAAATTAACTGTTTCAGAGAACGTCATGAAAAATAGAATACGAGTTAACAGTAAAAAATCCATGCTCACATTTGGTCATTTCCTGTAAATTATGTATAGTAGATTTTTTAAATGTGATTCTTAATATTTTCACTTTACGTGTATCTGTCTATTTACTAAATATAAGTTCTTTTATATGCATTTATTAGTTTGTAGGCTTCTTTATACATTCTGATCTAATGCTTTCGCTATATGTAAATATTCGGTTATCAGAAGACAAATCTACATGTTCAAACATATTTTATAATGCAAAAAAAAAAAAGAAAAAATTCTATATAAAAATTCGTTGTCTCGCAGTATCGATAATTTGATTGGCTAATTATCACGGATAATTCTAACCAATCAGCAAATTTCAGGCTTTTTAGATTCTAAATTTTGGTCGATCTCAATTTAACTTCCTACAAGATGGGAATGTCTGAGCCCAAGGAATGTCCAAATATTTTCCTGTGCCCCAACCATAAGTCACAAGAATTATTTATTGCATAGAATTTTTGCTTATTGAAAAATACTTATTATCCTTTTAACATGAGCAGTTCAGGTTTTCATTCTCACAGAATGTTTTTTTTATGTCTGCTTTTATTAGTTTCGAATATAACCTTTTCATAATTTTTTTTTTTCTCAAGATTCCGACGATTTGTTTGCAGATTTGAATGTAAAGACGGCAAAACCCTCTCATGGGAACCGTATCATGTCCAAGAATAATAAAGTTTCACTTGAAGAACTTGGCATTAATACAGATCGATCTGTCATAATACCTGCAAATAATGAATCGTCTAATTTTTCCTTATTAAATTCGCCACCATTTTCTGCAAAGCTGAGAGTGGAAAGTACGGAATTAGAACTTAAAAGAATGGAGAACGAATTGAAACAAATAGTCGATGTTCAACTTGTAGTTTTTCAAAAGCGAAATAAAATTCATGGACAATTGGTGGAGGTACGATAAAATTCTCACATGTTGACTTTTAGAGATTTTAAAATTTTCTTATAATGATCCTTATTCGTAGTTATGGAAAACAATGAAAATATTAGAAACAGATCAAACGAATGCTTTAACAAATGAAGATTATGTTCAAGCAGATAAACTTACTCATGATATACAAGAATTAAATAATAAAATCAAAACTTTTTGTGGTGTATTACCCGGAATAGAACAAACCTTAAATGAATTGAGAGAAAAGCAAGTTAAATATTTAAAAAGTCAATCTGAAACAAACAAAACTTTGGAAAAAGAACTTGTAAAGAAAAAGGTAAGTTATATAATCAAAATCTTATGAATATATATATATATATATTTATTCATCCTAGACTGAAATCTTTATTGTGTAAAGAAAAAAGAAGAGGATGCCCATAAGCAATATGCTGTAGATATGGAGAATTTACGTAATATTGAAACAAAACAAATTAACGAAATGCGAAAAGAAATTGATAAAGAGAATAGGTTTTATTATATTTTGAAAATATTGCAATAATAATAATGACAACAACAATGATACTAATAACAACAATAATAATAAACATATAGTGAAATCGTCTTCGGATTAGATATCTGGAATAAAGGTGTAGCTGATCTGAATGAAAGAATAGAAGAACGTGTTCGTGATGAAAAATTGGAACGTGAATCGCTGTTAAAAAAGCGTGAAAACGTTCAGGTAAATTATTGTGTATAAGCTTAAAAAAATGTAAAAAAAAAAAAAAAAAAATAGAAATATACCTTTAAAATAATATTATCAATATGATTACGTTCTATTATAGACTCAAATAGCTGAGCTTTTACAGCGTCTTGAAAAACTTAGGGCAGAAGAAAAAAGTTATACGAGACAAATCACAGATGTTGATTTACAAATTGAAAGTATTACTAACGAATTTAATGCGGAACGAGATGAAAATTCCAGAGAAAAAATTGAATTAGACAGAAGAAAACATGAGGTTGATAATAAAACAGTATGTACCTTATTTTGCAAATAGTTGAAATGATTTATTAGAACCTTTTTGCTTAAAAATATTTCGGATGTAAAGAGGCATGTAGAAGAAACGGAAACTCATTTACACCAGAGACTTGAACATTATCGCAAGAGACAAGAAACATCACAAGTACAATTGGAATCATTAGAGCAACGTATTAGTGAAATTAGATTGATGGCTAAATCATATCGTGAAGAAGCTATCGAAGTTGAGAAGTTGATAGAACATTTGAAGCATCGTAGTCAGAGGGATAATGATTGTGAAAAAGAAATTTTCGAGTGAGTGTAAAAGGATATTCTTCTTCAAGGTTGAATATACTTTGTATTAAAACATGATTATTTAGTATACGACTACAAATGGAAGAAAGTGATACGGAAGTTAAACGATTAACCTCAAAGGTGATGCACGATCAACAAACTTATTCTAATATTAAACAGGATATATCAACGATAGATACCCAAATACCAGCCTTGGAAGAACAAAAAAAGTTGGCTGTAGCAGGTATTTCTATTTACAGTTCGCTTTTAATACTTTTTTTGTTCAATTGGATATCTTGAAGTATAGATAAATACTTTATTAATCAATTGATTATAAAATGAGGTCTTCTATACTGCAAGAGGTCCGTGCAATTATCTATTTGATATAACCAGACTTCTTGAACTTAATACAGG